GTGAAGCGTGCAGTTTGTTGCGTCAGGGCTCTCCCTACCCCCCCGTACCTCTTCCTCTCTATCTCTTTCGCTGACTCTCCACTCGTCGCGCCCTCTCCCTCTGCCCCATTGGGGCGTGGCACTTGTGCCATAAGTAATTGACAAAATCTTAATTAGTCCTTGGCATGTCCATTGAATGGCTTCTGTTAGTTGTCGAGTTTAATTAGCGTTAAATATTTGCCAAGCGTCTTCCGACTTTAATCAAATTAAAAAGCGCCATACCTCTCCTACAATCCTAAACCCTAAATCGAATGAGCGCCAATCAATTAGATATTTAATCAAATTTTCATTAACTGCCCAAAATGTGCCTCCAATTAAAAAGTCCCGAGTGTCAACTTTATCATTTTGGCGCTTTTGCTGCTTGACGAGTCGATCCCTTGGGGTGGGGAGAGGAGGGGAGTGGAGAGTGTTGCTTGCATGGAAAACAAACCGTAATCAGTTGAAGAGTGGAGAGTACGCTCGAGAATTTCCACTTGCACTTGCCAACACAACTGCCACTTGGAGCTATAAACTGTGAAGAGCCCTTCCGGGCCACCACCACCACCACCACCACCACCAGCAGCACCAGCAGTAGCATCGGATGAGGCAGCTGCCCCATCGAGTGTCCTTGAAATCGAATACAGCTGCTGCTGCAAGTGCTGCTCTAAGGGCCTCTTCCTGCGTGTGTGTGTGCAGTGCTTATCCTCTCAGAGCCTCGACTATCTGTGGTGCCAGGAGTCTAGAGGAGTTTGTTCCTGCAAAAATTCTGCATAATTCGCAGAGCAAGTGCATCGACATTTGGATGTCGATGTCTCTGTCTTTCGGCTTGGGGACAAGTTGAGTTGAAATTGCTTTAATTAAAGTTGAGTTTAAGCGTTGGCTAAGGAAATCGATTGCCAGGCCAACCTTTGGCCCCCCGATTGGGTCGTGGAACAATCGTTTAACCCTGTGGGTCCTTGAGGGTCCTGAGGGTAATTCTGCTGCCATCGTGCTGGTAGTACGTTACGTTCTGTTGTCAAAGTGTCAAAGTGTAATCATGGCTTGTGCGAAAGAGGCTTAAATTAAATTAATTGGCGGGCACTCGAAGTAAATTAAAATTGCCCGGAACGATTTTATTTCTGTTCCATTTCCTGTTGCTCATCCGTCCGTTGTCCAACGTTCATGTCCAGCCATTAAAGAGATTACAAAAGGGTCAAAGGGATAGCTGCGATTGCGATTGTTCATAATTGTTCGGCGCCTGCGGCCTGCGGTTTATCTTTCTATGCTTTGATACCCTAAACGAAAGGGTACTACAATTTGCCAACCCTCGAGGTCATCATACAGAAGCCATAGAGAGTATCTAAAGCTGCGACTCTCAATGATATCCTTTCTTGCTTGATTGCTTTTGTTCTGCTTGCTTCAAGAGTGTCATTTTCCATTTCCAAATCGCACTGACACTTGCGCAAACATTGACGCACACACAGATACCCCGGCTCACACGGATACTCTCACGGACAGCATTTGGATGGCAAACTAATTAAATTTTGCTGGGCTTGGGAATGACTTGACTTGACTTTGGCTTTGGCTTTGGCTTGGCGCTTGGTGTGTCGGATATGGGCAGCCAAATTGGCGCCGCAAATTGGTAATTACCCAGGCTGAAGTGCATGTCAAACACGTAAAAAGGCGACAGAGGGCAGTGGGCAGTGGGGGTGGCGGTGGCGGTGGCGGCGGCCAAAGAAAGGCTCCTCCCCTTTGTCCTTCGTCCTGCGGATGCCTCTGCCGGCTGCACATTGTGCAATTAGCCAACAACGAGAATGACAATCAAGCAAACGATGGTCCCAACGATGGGTCCACGCAAAGCAGCTGACGACGCGTGTCCTTAGTGTTCTCTCAATGTATCTGTGTGTGTGTGTGTGCGCCTTGTTGGCCGTGGGCGTGGTCAGATGCAGTTGAGCTGCCTAATTACTTGTAAGTTGGTGAATTTGCGGCCACGACATTTCAGAGCAGCAAGCAGAGAGCCGGCAGCCGAGAGCCCGAGCAACTAAATTGAATTTGACGCGCACGGCCACTAGCCACTAGCCACTAGCCACTAGCCACGGCTCCTGGAGCAGCGGTCAATTGTTAACGAGTCGTAGACATGGCCCAGAAGGGCAGTCGCAGGCAGGCACCGGAACGCGGGGGCCACGTCGCGTGTACAGCCCTTCCTGTTTCCCGTAGAACGACAGAAGCAGTGAAACTTGCCGATTGCCAGCGTGTAATTATTTTTTAAGCACTTTGTCTGCCAGTGAAATTAGACCTAACTAAGCCAATCTCTTTTATTTCGTTCCTTTTGTTTTTTCGGGTGCATTTGAATAGCACGAAGATACAGAGAGATATACAGATACAGAGAGAAAGATACAGAGATACAGATTTGGCTTTTGGGTCGTCACACACGGCGGTTGAGGCGCGTATGTCCTGCGCTCCTCTCCTGCGCTCCTCTGCTGTCCCTCTCCCCTGCTCTGTTCTGATCTCGGCTTTCATTTTTCGGCAGCTTTGTCCAATTAGTAACCGGGTTTTTTTTTTTTTTCGGGCGGTGAGGTCTACGGTTTCATTTCTTTTATTGTGCTCGTTATCCTTTTTATTCCGAACTCCTACTGCTGTTGCTGCTGGTGGCATCTCCGTGCGCAAATTTGATATCCTTGTTACAGCAAATTTCTGTACAATTATTCTGTCTTGCGTGTGCCACCACCTCGGTTGGTCCTTACCCCCCCTCTCTCTCTCTCTCCGTCTCGTTCGCCTGACCAAAAGCGAAGCGAATCGAATGAAATGATATTTATATGCTCCACAAAACGTCATTGCAGCCCCCCTTCCCCCCTCTCATTGCCATTGTCCTGCGCCAATATTGTCGCCCTTTCGATTATTTATGATCTTTACTTTACTCGTACTTTGCCCTGCAGTGCTCCCCACGGGCCTGTGGCCAAGTTTTAGTAGTCATCGTAGTCCTCGTTCTCGTCCTCGTTCTCGTCCTCGTTCTCGTCCTCGGCTCAGTAATAAATTTATGCTTTTTTATTTCCTCCTGTCATAATTTTACCCTCAAATACACAGAAAACGGAAGAGAGGGATGGGGACTGGGCAAGAGATGGCAGAGAGACGATAGCAAAATACTTGGCCATTTTTCCCTCGAACGTTTCCTCTCGCATTCCTGAGAGTCTTCCCCTCACCCTTTATCCTGTCTGTCGGCAGGGTGTGCGGTTGGTTCACTCCTTTCATGCCTGTCTAGAATTTTCCAATTGATAAATTATTTTATGGCAAATACACAAATTTTCCCCATACGCATGTTTTGCTTCCTCTGTCTCTATCCCTCTCTGTGCCATTCCTGTGCTGCATGTGTGTGTGTGTGTTATGTGTGCCTGTGTGTTATGTGTGTGTGTGTGTGGTTTTGATACCCTAAAAGAGCATACGAGGATTTGGGGTGTATTATTTTAATGTATTGGAGGAGGGTATTCGATAGGTATTCTTGAGGACAATCGAAGAAAACTTTTCTAGATTTGAATGCATAAATTAGACATATTTTATGCTTCCTTTCTGCGTAATTTACACCAAACATTGATCAGGACCCTGTCACTGGGCACTGAATCCATCTGTTCCTTAAGGGTATACAAAGCTTCGACTATTCAAAATAAAATCTCATTTTCCTTTTTGTTGTTTAGTGTGGCTTGGTTTTCGATTTTCATTTGGGGTTTTCTTGGTGTGCAGGGTCCTGGAGTCCTGCGTTTATTCGTTTATTCCTATGCGTAAGTAATATCCTTGTGTATTTTTGCGTATTTCCTGCCTTACCCTGATGGCCGAGTGGTCAACCCCCATTCGGTAAGACTCCATCCAGAATACACAAAATCAATCATATTTCCTTTCCTTTTTTTCTTTGCTCTCAGCTCTCTGACAGAACGCTCTCTTCATCAACTTCCTTTCTACATTTTTTTTGTTGTTTCCTTACATCAGAATTTGTTGCTTCGCTCAGCCCCAGACTTTATCATCGGCTTTCGTTTTTGAGCTCCTTTCTACCTATATCTTAAAGGAATACAAATTGGAGTCGATTTATGTAGCATTTAAGTCTGCCTTTGCTGTGGCTTTCACTTTGTGCGGTTCCTTATAAATATGCTACATTTATTTTAATAGAATTGTTTATGGTCGCAGTATTGGCAGCGCCAGCGCCAGCCATAGGGCCGCTCATTGTGGGCAATGTGCCCCATTCTGTGGATACCCATGAATGCGGCGCTATGGCACTGCCAAAACATGTTAAATAGAGAAATTGCAATAAAAAATGGCGGAGAAAATAGCGGCAAAAACCGCGCCAAATCAAAGCCAACAAATCCAAAATGCGCACACAATATTTTGCGGGATTATTTCAGTTGGCTTGATGTCACTGGGTGGGTCGGGGAGTCACGCGGATGGGGACGGGGACGGGGGAACGTGAAGGGAATATGCACTATCCTGGGAATCCGAACTAAAAGTTCGGGCTACCATCCAAATTTCTGTTAATTTGGCAGCTTGTCCTGCGTCCTGGCATTTGCTCGTTCCTCGTTTTTGTGACCAGTTTTTCATGCCTCTCTGGCTGTCGTTTATATTTTTTTACGCTCTGCTTGAGTTTTATTTGCCTGTGGAAAAACGCCGTAGAGAAGAATCCGTATATCTGTATATATAAATGGATATATGTATATATATGTACGTACGTGTGTGTTTATATCTCCCTGTTTTTCTTTTTGGTAGCGGGCTATATTCTGTGTGCAGATATGCAAAACGCTGTGCGCACATAAATTTCGGTGCTGGGCCACGCTTATTTGCATAGGAATTATGTATTTGGGCATAGCGGCTTAGCTGCTGCATTACACACAGATACATACACACACACACACACACACAGATGCACACACCGCACAGGACTCTCTCCTTCGCTCTCCCTCTCCCTCTCTCTCGTTGTGGTCATGTAGAAAACTAACGCATATCGTTTTCCTTGTATTTTGCAGCTATAAATTTGCAACGCCCCAGGAAAATACATTGCAGCAAAACAAGCAATTAAATCGGAGCAGGCCTCCCCCCGTATACCCCGTAGCATACCCGTAGCCGAACCCGGGACGATCCAGGGACCAAGGACCAAGGACCAAGGACCAGGTCCTGCTGCTGTGCTATAAACCTATTTTGAATAATTAAAATACCGTAAGTGCTGCAGTCGAAGAAGTTGGCCAGAAGCACAAGCACAAGCACAAGCAGAAGAATAAGTTGTTGCACAAGAAGGAAAAGTATAGGCCACGCGGTAGCAACAAAACGAGAACGAGGTAGCAGCGGGCCAGGTGGCCAAGAAGGAGTCCATTCTTGCAACACAATCTGCGGCCGTGCAAAATCGTGTGCAGCAATGAAATAATTAATTCAATGCACCTGACTAAGCCTTGTGGCAGCAACAGTAGAAGCAGCAGCAGCAGCAACAACAGCAACAAAGGAGGCGCCATTGCAAATACATTCCATTCCAGCAAAAGCAGCAACAAAATGGCGAGGATAACGCGAACAATTAGCCCACAAAGACACCATATCCACCAGAGGAGCCTGCCCCACACACTGCTCCTGGCCGTGGCAGCCATCGCTCTGTTGCAACTGCAGCACTTGGAGAGCGGTAAGTCAAGACCAAAAACCAAACCAAAAAAAAAAAAAATGATATCTATGCCCCATTCTCCGAGCAATTGCAAATTCAATCGCGTGCAACAGAGCCAAGTCAATCAGCAAGTCCAAGTGAGATTTCCAGTCCCCGTCCCCGTCCCCGTCCCCGTCCCAGCCACAGTCCAAGTACCAACCGCAAAGCCATTCAATTGACAATCCACAATTGGTGCCACAGGAGGTGGAGGAGGGATGGGATTCCCAGCTCGATGACGGAGCTTTGTCGGCCGGCGAATTAATCTCACGGATGAATATTTCAAAGCGAAACTTGAGCAATTAATTTCGCTAATTGCTTTTCTTCGCTTCGTTTTTGTGTGGCAAGAAGGGACGCTCCCTCGAATCTCGGATCCAGCCACCCCCCGCTTCAACATTCACGGGCTTTTGCATTTAAATGCCCCGGCAGTGCATTTTCAAGGACTCAACTTTTGCCTGTGCATAAAACTCAATCTGACATTTATGCGAATGTCCACGGAATCAAATAAGAGTAATGACATTGCCAGAGCCATAGCCATAGCCAGAGGGGTGAGCAGAGGGGCCAGTGGCTGGCCAGTGGGGAACAGACGATGAAGCGTCTTGGGATCTGTTCGAGTTCGGGGCTCCTGCTCTGCCCCTGTGCCACTGACTGTGGCAGTGCAATGTCCTTTGGCTACTCAAACATTCCAGTGGCTATTAGTATTCATATCTTGACTGAACTAAACTGAAAGCTTAAATTCCTCTGGCCATTCTCTCGTCCTCTCGTCCTTTGTGCCATTCCGAAGGATGGGCACGGGGGGCGCCTCAGTTTTTATCTAGCAACGTTTGCATGAATTTTCATTTCGTGCTAGAATTGTTGAAAAAGATGCAATTAAATTTTAGGGCCAGGGTGTCAGCAAAAGAAGGGGAGACACACAGCAAAAGTTGAAGCAAAAGCAGAAGGAGAAGCAGAAGCAGAAGGAGAAGCAGAAGCAGATGGAAATGGAAATGGTCATGGACCCAAGGAGGGTCTCTGTCCCTCCCAACATGGTATATATAGGTATATACATATACTATATATCTGATAGATATAGAAAGTGCGCGCAAAAAAGCTCAGCACGAAATATTCCAAGTCCCTGACAGTGTCCCCTCCTCCCTTCACTCTTTTTCTTCGTTTGGGGATGCTCCATCTCTGTCGCCCCGTTGTGCGGTTGCAGCTGCCGTTCGCTCGGTGGCAAGAACGCATTATTAATTTATTTTTCAACTTGCAAGATGAATAAGCAAAGAGCAAAAATGCGCTCTGCTCCTCAAACGCTGCTTCGGGTGCAGCCAACCAAAAGTTCCCAATTTAAACGTCGTCCTAACGCCAGACAGTTCCACCGCCACCTTGCCACCACAACCCCTGCCCCTCCCCCCGCCCAACCATTGTCGGGTCATTTTGCATGCAGTTTGCAGGCAAACGTGGTTTCGGGACGGCAGATGAACGTGTCTCGAACGGACTTCAATCTGCTGTCCATCACTGTCTTCGATCGTGCCTCACCGCAAGGAAATAAAATCCAAAAGTGAATAATGAACCGCAAATAACTTTACTTTGTCTTGCTCTGAGAGCGCAGCTTGCAACTCCCGCATTCGTTCCTGCCACTTGCAACTCCCTTGCATCCTTTTATACTTTAAAGTACTTCTGCCACACTCTGTTGCTGTTGTTTTTTAATACCCTTCAAGGTGGTTACATTGATTTTCACCTAAGGACTCTTAATCATATAAAAAATATGTGCCCTCGAGCAATATCTAGATGTGTTTCCATGGAAATTGTCTCCAGATTTTTCATGGTTAGAAATTGGGAAGCCCTAGATCGGAGAACAAGAGGATATTCATATCCAAAAGGATATTTAGTTAGAGAATTGATATGTATCATCCACGAAATCATTCCAAAAAGCAATTTGCGATGCCTATCCCTGTTGTATCATATATCCACCATAGATGATAGAATGGTCTTTCAAGAGTATCTAAGTGTTCGGTTCCAGAGTCTATCCTTCTTTTCTTGTTTTAAAACTGCTGCAGGACGTTTGTCTGCCCCATTGGGTTGCATCCAGCTACAGCTCCTGCCACAGCAGCAGCACCAGCGACTGTGAGAGCAGTCACTGCGAGTGTCAGTAACAATTAGTTTGGTTTGTACTCTAGTCAACTGTCGTTCTCTTCCTGCGCTTTGCAGTGGAGTCCTTTTCGCTGTTTCAAATATTTGCATTTGTGGCTGTCGATTCGCTCTCCATTTTCATTTTTTCTCGTATTTCGCGAAGCTTTTCCTGCATTTTCCCCCACAATTAATGAAGTGCCAAACGCTTGCTGAATACCCCCTTGCATAGAGAGCTCGTATTGGTGACTAATCTCCATCTTCATTAATGCAGAATATGGGGATATATTGTGACATAAATCACACAATCAAATTATGTATCTACAAGCCCCGAAGGTCCATTCGTGAATGGGGTTTCTTTGGGTTCTTCAGCGGTCTTCGGATTAAGATTCATCTGTCCAACTCAACTAATCAATTTGACATAGGTAGAGAGGTTGCCGCCGCAAAAACTTTCGCTCTGGAACAACTTTCGATATTTGAGGAGAAAACTTTTCCCACTCAGATAACAAATTTTCCCCAAATGCGTACATACACATATACTCTGATAACACTTTCCCCCATTTAAACACGCATATGTACATATATAGAATGGTGCATATATCTGGCTGTAAGTAAGTGAAATTTATTAACTGCATGAACCACAACCGAAATGCAAATAAATCAGACATTGGCCATCAGGTGTGGCAATCCAAAAAGTTCTGGGGCTAAACATTGAGGAGGCAGGAAAAAAGGGGAAAAGAGCAGCCGCAAAAAGGATATTGACGTGTGACAGGAACGATTGGAGTGGAGAGGCTCTCGAGTTGGGGTGGGCGGGGGAGGGTAGGGGTTGGTTATCCAAAAGAAGGCTATAACATCCATCAACCCACTGGTTGCTTGCCCCTGTCTCTCTCTGTCTCTCTCTTTCTCTCTGTCTACCGCTTATCCTCGCACTTTGGTTGTGGCAGTGTCAAGTATTTGCACTTGAATCGCGCGCTAAGCAAAATTTACGCGCATTTGTTTGTGCGACTCCAGAGAATATGCTCCCCAAACTCAAGTGAAAATCGATGGCTCTACATGCACGTGTATCTGTGTGGCACTGCCATTGTTGCTTGGCCACAATGTTTTCTTTTCCGCCTCCGTTTCGTTTCGTTTCGTTTCACTCGGCTTTTTATTGGTTTCGTTCGCTTTTCTTCTAATTTTTTTTTTGTGTTTGGTTTCTGCTGTTGCCACTGCCGCTGCCACTGTGTGTCCTGCTTCTGGTGTCATGAGCAAAGGAGCAGCATTTGAGCAAACAAACTAGACCTGCCACCACATACACAATCACACACAGAGAAAGAGATAGCGAGAGAAAAGAAAAGAGAGGAAGAGAGAAGAAGAGACACTTAAAGCTTTCATCCTGGAGCACATATTGCTTCATCTCTCTTCTTGTGGTTTACCCGGGACCCGGACAGGCATCAAAACTGTCGACAACATCAACGTCAACGGCATCATCATCGCCACGAAGCTCCGGATACAGCTTCAGCTCCATGTCCTTCAACAGATACAGCCCTTCCTCCAGATACAGCTTTTCCTTCAGCGCACAGCCTACTTTTCCAGCAACAGCTTCACATCTACTTCTCGGGCTATAGCTCCTTCTGCAGCCTCAGCTCCTGCTGCTCCTCCATCATTATGGGCTTCGTCTGGCTCTTCACAAAAATGCACACAAAATCCTCAACTTTATCTCGTCAATAACTTAAGTGCCAGTCAGAGGCTGTGGGCTGTGGTCCTTGATCAGGGCCTGGTTCTGGTTCCTGGTTCTGGGCCTGGGCCTGGTTTTTTGTTCCCCCCCAACAGTTTCACTCAGTTTATTCCGGCTCATCTCCCCACATGATGCCGCCTGTGGCTTCAACCTTTCTACCCTCTCTGCCACTTTATGCCACAATTCATTTATCGGTAAAAATTTGCTTGAACTCTGTTTTAGCACGTACTGCGGTTGCATGTGGCAAAAGGCTTGCAAATGATTATTTTATTGACAATTAAATCATAAACATAAAAGCACAAGCACAAGCATGAAATGGAAGAAAGTGGAGGGAAATTTTATTGCCATGAATGTCAAGAGTTGACATTAGTCACAGAGAGGGGGGAAGGAGGGCTCTGCCTCTCTCTTGCTGTATGGAAACGTTTCCAGTTTATTGCAGCATTTAAGCCCAGAGATGGCATCGCACTCAAACGCAGACATCAGAAGGGGTGGCATGTGTGGCACATAGGCAGACAGTGCGGACTTGTTGCCACGTCTGACCATAGCATTAGGTCTCTTATATCCTGGCAACAGCTGCTGCATGTATGTGCTTGCCACATGCGAGTCGTCGTCTGGTTCATCAGAATCATCTTTGAAATGATTTGGCAACATCATTTTCCATGCCACATTAAAAAGTTGATTGCTCTCTCCCGCTCGCACTCAGTCTGGCTGGCAGTGGGGCAAATGAAGAAATTGTGTTGCCTCCGATTAACGTGTCTGCAAAGTTGAACTTGCAACTGCCACTGCCGCTAACTTCTAACTGGAGCTGATTGAATTTTAACTGAATGTCAGAAAAAGAGAATGGGCAATGGGAAAAAGCAGCAAGCAACAAGGAGCAAGGAGCTACCACTCTGCACAGCAAACCATATTTAATTTGTGTGCAAATGCTCGGCAAACAAGTTTCTAATAAAATAAAGTGACTCTCTGTCCATCTCTCTGTCTGACGGAGGGGATCCCCTGCTCCTGCCCTGTCCCTAGCTCTTCCCTCAACGGGTAGTTTCATTAGAATTTCAGAGCGGCCCTCTCATTTGGGTGAACGTACTACTACCATGCTGTTGGCTTAAACCAGAAAGCCATTTCATTATGGTCCTCGCCTAATGTCGGGGGCCAACGGCTGAGC